ACACTCGAGATGCTTGGAATTAGAGAAGATGTAATCTGGTACATCGATGCACTTAAGCTGAGACCCTACATGGAGCTGAACCTTCCAAGTTATCCCGAGCTAGTCCGCGAGTTCTTAGCAACTATTACACTCCACCACACGAAGAGGAGGAACCCCAGAGCATCTGATGGCATCTTGTTATTCTCTATCCGCGGATAGACTTACTCGCTCACAATTTCTGCACTTTGTGAAGCTCTTAAGCTTCCATACACTGATGGTATTCACCTTGAAGAAGAACCCGATTTTGACTTGTGGAGAGAGATGGATCATGGCGTCTATGATAGCGGGAGATCCAAGTCAGCCCTTTTTACTCATCCTGCAGTGAGAGTTGTGCACAAACTCTTAGCACACACGATTTTCTCTAGAGCCAACATGGGATGCGTTTTGAAGACCAAGCTCATTACACTTCAGATGCCATTTATGGAAAACCCACGAGTTGCCTGCTTTGCATGGATCATAGCACAGAACATGGTGAAGGTGAAGCATGATTTACATGGTTGCGAGGACGCTACTCCAGCTTACGGGAGCGCTATTACAGCGATACTACAGGCTGTAGGATTCGATTTCTCATCTGATGATCTACTTACCGACGTCTGGTATGACCTACTTTATCTCTCTCGCGATCACACTATCTCTCGTGCCGCTTTCGATCCAGACAGGTTTGGCTACAAGTATTGCACTGGCACCGAGGAGCACCGAGTCTGCTTACCTTCAGCATCAGTCCCAAGATTGTGTAACGGAGGACGTCCGCGATGGACTCCGGAACAAGATGAGTTTCTTCCATCTGTGCCTCGTCTACCATTCACCATCGGCCAATACATAGTGGCCAAGGAAAAACGTGATGCAGCTGCGGCCCATGTTCACTTTCAGCCATCTGTTTCGACCGGCCACACCTCATCATCGACTTCGTCACACACACATTCTGATCTGGAGCGCAGAGTTGAGAGACAAGGACGACGCTTTGAGCGCGTTGTCACTTTCCTACAGGAGCAACACCAATTCGAAGCAGACACATCGGAGGATGAGTGATTGATCAGCACTTCACTGCCATCACGGTTCTATCATCATTTTCTTTTCTTTTATCTTATTTCATTTTTGCTTTTATTCACCATCTTCTCACCAACTTTTTCACACTGGGGACAGTGTGATTTAAGTCTGGGGGAGGATGTCTATATGTACTAATCATTTCCTTGCTTTGCTTTCAAAATTTCAAGTACTTTTTAAATTTTAATATGTAACCTATTCGACCTTATGTATTTTTCAGGAATGTTTGACACAAAACTATGATATTTTAGACATGCATGCTTCTACACTATGCATGATAGCTCATTTGTGGTTAGCACTAGACTAGGCGGTAGCTAGAGTACTTGCACTACGAACTCCCACCAGAGGACTTCTATTCATGGAGATTCTTTCTGACAGGATATACTAGCTCATTTTATTTGACCTTAATACTGATATCTAATTTCCTCATCGTTGATTTTAGGCAGGCATCAAGATATACATCTAGGACGTCTTTTACCCTCATTTTTACCACTCTTTGTCGTCCTAGATGGCCAGTTCATCTTTATCTGGTACCATACCCTAAACCCAAAACCCTTGTTTTCAATCCTCATGCATTCTCTCTTTAGTTTATATCAGCAGATATATGCAAAAACGTCGGAGAGAAGAGGAGCGACGCAGTTTTCAGTCACTCACAAGGAAGACTGAATGGAATTGGGAAGGAAGAATATCGGAAACCTCATTAAGAGTTACAAGACTGATTTTAATTGTTAATTTCGTGCTCTCTATGACTCTATATCTAAAGGTGTTCCCTCCATTTCAAAAAAAAAATTAGAAAAAAAAATGAATGAATAAATGAAAAGAGAGAGGGAAACAAAAAGCCTAATGAGTCTTAGATTGTCAAAATTTTTGGAGCAAGAAGCAACCACTATCCATTTAAAGAGCTATGGTTTGTTTTGAAAGATTTACAAAAATCTAAGTCTGGGGGAGTTAGGAGAGAACCTGAGGGAGAGGACGAGGAATCTATGGCAAGAAGAAAGTGACTGAAAACTGTGGATGCCAACAGCTTCACTCTCTCTTGCTGTTTTGCATAATATCCTGCATCCTCCAGATCTTCAGGTAACCCGTAAACACTTGAAACCTTACCTCTAGAATAACCCTTTTTGACACCTAGCCTAGATTGCCTTGCCTATACTTTCTTTGATGAGAACCACCGAGATTTTTAATGAATGTTAAGAGCTAGTTGACTGGAAGTTAGATCTTAGTGCATAGACTTCCGCATGACGGATTAACGGACTAGTTATGCCTGCATTGCTAGTGAGAATTTTCTAGGTTATTCCCGATTGATGCATAATGATTGATATTGGTCTAGAAGTTTGGTCTCTGAGATTTCGTTTAGTTCCTGTGTTTTCAAACTTCTCGCCGAGATTTAGCCTTTGTTTTGTTTGAGGACAAACAAAAGACTAAGTCTGGGAGAGTTGATAACACCGGATTTTGACCATTTTTATGGATCACTTTAATGTCTTTTACAGGTGTTTTTACTCCATTTTCAAAGGTTTTCAAAGGATTTCTATGTTTTCGGATTTTAAAAGACTTTTCAGGTAATTTGGGATAAAGAGGCACAAATTGGAACAAAAAGACTCTTTTGGATAAATGCAGACCGTAAGAACTCTCAAGGAGAGACGAAGACCTTCTCACCGTCTGATCACCCTCAAAATTGGACAACTTATAGAAGAATCAACCAGCTTTCAAATGCAATTAGTTTGAAGACATTCCAACGGTTGGATCTCAAGATATTCCATTAGTCCCGGAGCCACTCAAAGACGACCAGCAAGTCACACGACCGCGGCCACCAGCTCATTCCCCGCGGTCACAAGCTTCACGGCCGCGGCCAACCGCCTATTTCCTGTGGTCACGTCACTCCCGGCCGCGACCGACCAAGTCCGAATTAAAGCCCATATTTCTGAAGCCCAAAGTCATTTCTCAGCCTTAATTCCCGAACCCTAGAGACCATGGAGTATTGAAGACTATAAATACTTGTCATTTAGGTCGTTTTTAGACAACCCTTCATACTTTACAGAAACCCTTTTCCTTTAGCCCTTTTTATGCGATTTTTGTAGAAGACTGTTCAAGTCTGAGTTCTTCAATAGAGAAGCTTTCTTTCATCTCTTTTCTTTACTATTTTTGATTACTTTTATTAAAACCAATGATGATGCCGACCTCAGCTATGTCTGAGTAGATCCCGAGTTGGGCTTAGGGTTCCCGGAAGGGGCTCTCATAATCGATTAAGACATCTAGGTTTATAGATCTGGGATTTTAACTTTGTTCTCTGTTTATTCTCATTCTTATTGCATGTATGCTTGATTGATCACCTAGTATCTGATCTAGATAGTTGGTGTTGCGAAATTTTTCATTAAGTATCAGACCTAGAATGAAACAGGCGATTTTTCCATAGGAGTGGAAACCTACCTGCGGCGAGATCGTGAGTACTGACGAGTCTTGTGCAGCTCTTGCGTTCTCTCCCTTCCAGGGCCAGAGTGGAAACCTACTGGTTAGGATTGCGAGAAACAGTTGGTTATGATCACGACAGTTACGTAGTCATACCGCCGTACTCTAGCTCTAGAACCCTATATTTCGATATCCGTCAATCCCAATCTATAATCCCTAGTGTTAAAACCGATTATGATCCCTGTAGAGTTCCCGAAAGCTCAGCATTTTTAGCTATAGTTTACAAACCAATCGATTTTTACTTGCTTATTTAGATCTGCATTTCAATTGTTTAGCTTTGATATTTTGCTTTCTTTACTTGCTTTCCATTCGATTTTTCTACTTGTTTTCTAGGATAGAAAACCAATCTAGTCTAGACAAAAAGTTAGAAATCGTAGAAGAATACAAGGCACACAAATCTCTGTGGATTCGATCCCTAAATACTACAACTGATTAGCTGTGCATTTGCGGCTTTCATTTGTTTTTGTTAAGGGTAAAACTTGTTCCCTCACGCAGTTGACACGCATCATGGAGCTATCTCAAGATGGGTGACCTATCGGGAAGTTGTTTTGCGGTACCGTGTGAATGAGGATAAAGCACGGGGAAAGATCACATGGTGATTGTAGGGACAGTAGACAAGTCTTATGAGCCTCCCGACCGTCGGACAGGGATGGGCCCATGGGCCTAAAAAGAGGCCAACCGTCGGGCAGTGGTGGGCCAACGAGCATAAGAGAGAAAGCATTGGACTCACTGGTAGGGACGATTGGTGGGCCAATGGGCCCAGTGAGAGAGGACGTTGAGCCCCATAGTATACGGGTTTGGGCTCACTGGTAGGAGCGGTTGGGGGCGTTTAGAGTTGTTGATAGCTAATCCAGATGAAAGGCGGATTCGGGATCTCATGGATATGATAGCCGGTCTATCTGGTTCCCAGAAGGGAAGAAGGGAGCGGGGTCTCACAGGCTGCGACTTAGCTTGTTTGTGAGATTCAAACAATCTGTTTCGTTCACAGATTGAGATAGTTAATCACCACCGATTGAGAGAGTCAATCAAAACCACCATCTTTCATCTCTATCATCGCCCACTTCCGCATAAAACTTGTTATCTTTGATAATCTTGTGAATATAAGATTTGGTGTGACTCCAATTTTATATAAGTGACACTTTATGTTTCTAATTTTGTGTGATAATATACAATGTTATTTTTGTTTGAGCTCGCTCAGTTAAGCGTTTTCATACAAATAAATTAAAGGCTGCTTTACGTAGTTAATAAGTAGCTTTGATACGAATAAATTCATTAAATGTTAAATTTACACACAGAACCTTCAAAGTTATATTTGACAAAGCTTTTGGAAAAGGGTACAAACAATTCCCTCGTTCATGTGAGTATTTGCAAGGTGCATGAGTTTGGAGTCTACTTATTTGTACAATAAGGATACACAGTATCAGAAGTGATCATGTTTTTCTTATAAATTTCTATAGCCTGGTAGGAGTTTGTTTACCTGAGCGTTCTAGTGCAATCTCAAAAAGATCAGCATCGGATTCTTCGTCATAGTCAAGCTTACGTCTATAGCTATTTCCCACAGTGGTCCTCCCGCTGGCAATTTCATCACTTTGACCTCTATTAATGAAAAAATTGCTTAAATACTGAGAATCTAATCTGCCAATAGAGAACAGCTCTTTGCTGTCCTCAAGCCCGGGTGTCTCACCAGCACACGGGTTGGGTGTGCGCTGCACATTTGCCGGACCATAATAAAATGGGGATTGCCCCAAGTTGACAAGAACTGTGGCCTCCCTATTGGAAGCAAGAATTGGATACAGAGGTGACCCAAATTCGTCTGCTTTACAATTAATAACGTGAACCAAGTGTGAGTTGACTGTGAAGTATACCTTCTTCTTCCTCGGGTCGTAACCACAACCAACGACTTTGTTTTCCTTTGCCCACTCATGTTTCTCTGATTCGCAAACTAACTTCATTCCTGACACAGACAAAGAATAATCTTTAAGATTCTAAATTTCTAACTTTCATTATCCACTGAGATTATCTAACACATTTGTATTTGCATAACTGTTTAAAATATTAGAGTATAATCAGAAAAATGAGTAAATATAAAGTTATAGAAATTTAGTTACTTGAAAGTAGTTGAGTAATAAAATATTATAAAATAAAATAAATCACAAAAATATAATGTATTTTAAATTAAAAATGTATAATTTGTATAAGTTGATTTTATTTTCTTATACATATTAATTGTAGCTATCATATTTCGACATTAAAGATATATTCAATAGATTTTTATATTGTTGACTACTAATATTTACAGTAGTTTCCATCACATTTTTTAAAGTGTTTGTTGAAGTAATGGTAGATAAACTATACTTAAATCTATTAGATTTAAAATCGTTTTAAATCACTTGATTTCTTGATCTCAGCATAAATTGTCACAACTGCAACGCTAGTCTATAAAATTTACGAATATCAAAATGAACATAGAAAACTGTAGTGTGATTATAGACATTTGTGAAAACTGAGTACAAAAAAAACTTTTATCGCAATCTTCAATTCATGAAATACGTTGGTGAAAACAAGATAACAAAATATCACTCATGAAAAACAAAAACGATAACAATAATGGAATAAAATTTTAACAAATATGGTTTAATTTACTGAAGAAAATCCGTAAACCAAAAAGTCCACGCATAGACGGGATCATATTTCTTGTTGAGAAACAGAGTCGTTGGTATCAGGTCGACATCATGAATGAGGTGTGATAAGAATGATGTGGAACGATTGACGACCCTTCTACATTTAGTGGGTCTCCATTTCTTGTTAAGACAATTAAGCTCTCAAAGGACGGCAAACTTTTTAATTATGTCTTTTGTTTATTAAAATTTTTGTACTGGTTATTTTTTTCCAGAGTTTTCGTTCGAATTCCTCCCTAGTAACGACATGAAGAAAATAAAATTTAAGTATTCAAAAAAGTAATGTAAATAGATAAATAATACATACCATCGAGATAAACAGCGCCGTCCGATTGGAATCCAATAGAAGCAGGGAATTTCCCAGGCAGTCGTGCTTCGCCCACTTCAGCGGAACCATCAGTCGTTAGTCCTACAGACAAAACGGCTTCTTCGTTTCCCCTGTCCCATTCTTTTCTGTTAACGAGGTTTGGTCCTTCGCTCTTGAACAACTTAGTTTTTTCACCTTCCACTGATGCAAGGTCATTTCCTACGTCATTAACCTCATGGCCGCTACTGAGGATTTCGACGAGTGTGATTTCAAAGTAAGCCTCTTGAGGGAAACTAGTATTTATGAGTTGTGGTCCAGGAAGAGGTAGGGCTGCTCGGAGAACCATCAATGGGTTTTTCCGGTTGTTAGTGTCTCTAAACACTTGATTAAACTTGATCGTCTGTGTAAAATCGACGGAGCCATTTGACACTTCCCATGTGATTATTACACCAGGATATTCGCTCCCCGCCGTCGCGCAGAGCCCTATAAGAGCTGATCGTGGGGAGGTCCCAATCACCAAAGGAGTTGATGCATGGACAGCGAATCCAAATCTTGTCCATCCATTCTTGATTGCTTCTGTCACCAAAGTCGGATGGTCTGTCCAGATGAACAGACCAGGTTTCGACGCGAATCCTCCTGTTGCAGCGCTACGGGAGACATTATAGTTGTTGATATTTCCTCGGCGTTTGATGTCGGAGGTATCTAGCTGGTGGATAAGGCTGGTTTGGTGGAGCCTAGAGATTCTAGCCTGAAAACTATCATTCCGAATGGGGCTAGCCACGTTAAGAGCGGTGGAGCTCTCCGGTCCCCGGAGACAGCACCAGCGGCGGAGGAAGACAAAGAGGAGAGAGGAGAGAACAACAACGGAGAGAATCCCTGCGGTTAAATGGGCCCATCGAAGCATCTCTGTGATAGAAGAAATTTTGAGAGAGACAATAGATGGAAAGAGAAGAAGGACATGGGAGTAGTGGACTTGGACGGGTGGACCCATTCAAGAAAGCATATCAAAAGTATAATAGAAAATTCATATGAATCTGTACCGAGAAAAAGTCAAATTTTTTAAAACATCTCAAATTATTTTATCAATATTAAGATGGAATTATAAATATTGAAAACATACCCTTGCATATTGAACTACACAAATACATTTTCATATGCGATAAGAGTATGTCGATTATTCATTAAATTTTGTAATATAATTTATGTTTTTTATTTTTGTTTAGATATAATTTAATAATAATTAATAAATATTTTTTCTATTTATATATAATTTGTTTTTATTGATTTATTTTCTAGTTTATATATGATCGCGATTAGAAAAATATTATTATAACCGAAAATTTAACAATTATAAAACATCATTATAACATATCTATTTATACTAATCCTAAATAGACCGCGATTATTAAACATATTTATAACCCGTTCATTCATATTATTTGTACATTTGATATATTTTTAAGTTTGAATATTAAAATTTTTCATCTTATTAATTAAAAATATATAATAATATATCATTTTCATATTTATCATTGAAAATATTATTTAAAATTTGAATATTTAAATTAAATCTAAATTAATATCTGATTTATTAATTTTGTAAAAATATAATATTAAATTATTTTATGTTTTTTATAAATAATATAACCTATATTTAAGGGAATATATAACAAATCTAAATTTAATATTGCTTTAAATTGACATGTTTGGTAACATAAATAAGAATAATCCAAAAACAAAATAGTAGAAAAACAAGTAAAACATGTTTGGACACAAAACATGCTTCATCTTTAATAGTATAGATTCAAACCAAATTTGTTTCGTGTTTTTTAGTTTTTGGTCAATTTTTGACCTAATAGCCTATGAAAATTTATGGCACTTCAAATTTAAATAAATTAAAACTATATTTAGAAAATTCTGAAAATACCAAAAAAATATATTTTCAGAAACTATTTAAGGAAAACAAATATTCAAAAAATATTTTAAAAATACGTTCTACCTAATGAAAATTGCGTGTTATATGTTATACGTTTACGTAGAACACAATTTCTTGTATTCTGTTATTATTCTACTAGTCGTAGGATTTGTTTTCTATAATTCTTGATGTATTCTATCGATTGATGAAAACCATATGCCATATGTTATACTATACATTATGGTAGAATTAAAGTTATACTGATTCCACTATATTATTCAGAATAAAAGTTCTACTGATTTGGCGGCGGATTTGGTTTTTTATTGCACCAAACAACCAATGGTTTTTAATATAACATTTACAATCTATAGCTGAAGAATGAGCGTGTTATTGTCCTATAGATAGGAGGAACTTCCCTGACTCTCTGTCTCTACATCCTAACCGCTTCTTGCTATGGGACTAACGGGAGTGCCCGCACCTTGCTGTGAATTAGAATCTCCTACATGCATTAAAAAATAAACACTTAACTCTCAAATTCCCACACTCGACATAACACAACACTTAGAAAAAAACTCTCCTTGAGCGGCCATGGCTTCTTCCGGCCAAAACTCTGATCGCCATCACGCACCACCCTCTCAACTCTGGTGGGTACGTTTGCTTCTCCTTGTTTTTCAGAATTTTTTATCTCTTTCAATGTATAAACGCTTAGGGTTTAGAACTATTTAATCAAATTTATGTTTGATTTCCTATAGCATGCTTAATTTTTTGAAAATTCTGTTTGATTTAGTGTTTGGGTATCGTTTGTATCTGGTATGGGTATTGTCTAGGGTTTCAAATTGGGTTTATGGTTTGAAATTGGGATATAGATGAAGTGAATATAGAAGTGAGTTGCCCGACGATATTTCAAAGCTGGCCACTTTACGGTATCTCAACTTGTTATAGACAGGCAGGGATAAAGAATTTCCCAAGTGATTTCATAGCACTTGCTAAACTGATTTACTTGGATTTAGAGTCCACTTCCGATCTGCGAAATATTAGTCTGATTTCTGGATTACTAAGGCTGCAGGTTTTAAGGTTTTATCCTTCCGCTCCTTCTGGTTGTTCATTATTGGAGAACTTTGAGCATTTAGCCATACCAGTTGAAAAATATTTTGAAGGTTTAAAAGCTCTCTTTAGGAACCAAATCGGCAGGGCGTACTGATATACTCATATTTTGTCATGATTAGGACTGCATTTTTGTCCAAATATTGAGTCTCATGCATACATTTAGCTAGTTTTATTAGAGTTTGTCTTTGGTTCTAGCTTTGTTTAATATTTGCATTAGGTCCTAGAGTGTCCTGCATTTTTGGAGTGTTCTCAGGTAATTTGGAGACTTTTGGGAGCAACTTGGAGCTGGGATCATGGAGGAACCCTCACCTGTGTACAGCAGCTCGGACAGATGGTTTGGTGCAGACGAGACCCTCACTTTGATCGCGTGGGAAGAAGGACTTGAAATGCGACTCCATCTCCGGTGTCTTCATCAAGAATCAAGAAGAATGAGTCTAGTTTCCGGAACACTTGGAATCAGACGATTTGGAGCCGTGAACTGGGAGATATCGCCATCGGAAGGAACACATGTCTCAAGGCCCGATCAGGTCTTACGCGATGCGCCTCAAATAACCAACGAGACGGGGGCTTTGCCAATGTCATACGGGGTTGAGACCTTCACCAAACTTGGAGCTAAAGACGTCATATATATTGTGGAAGTAGAAGATCGAGGTTTGGACCAGTGAGCAAGGAGTTATGAAGGATTTGGTGCAAGCGGTCCACACTCATATCGAGAAGGAATACCGGCCGAAATCTGGTCGGTATTACCTTGGAACCTTGACGTTTTTGACTGGATTTTGCAAGCCAAATTGCCAAAGAAATATCGACGTCCTGCACCGACTGAATTCTGTTCGGTATTGGTCCCCTGAAGCTATCTTTGACGCCGCACCGAGGTGAGTTCAGCCGGTGTAGTGCCTCGGTGTAACCAGCCTCAAATCGCTGAAGAAATATCGACCACCCACATCGGCCAAAATCACCTCGATACATTCTCGCTTCATGACGTTTTTGTGGACCTTTTTTGGGCCAAAACCTAGTTTGTCCTAGGTTGGCCCAGCAAGAAATCCTACCTATATATATGTTTTAGTCGTTATCCAGCAGACGAAGCTTTATTCTCTTTTTTTTCTTTGCCTCTTTTGTGAAAAACCTAAACCTTGTAAGAGAGATCTTCATTTTCTGGGTTGAATCAAGAGAGTAATTAGGGTTTAAAGCTGAAATCTATCATTATCCATCATCTCCATCTTCATCTTCCACCCCTTTACGAGTTTTAATCAGAGAGATTGAGAGATTTATGTGTTTAAAGCTGCAAACCCATCATCATCTATCTTCCCCATCTCCATTTCTTATCATTAATCATGCCAATCTTCTCAACTTGCAAAGGTTCAAGAGAGATTAGTATGATTATTGAGTAGTTTAGCTTAATGAGGTTCTAGATGTGTAGGTTAGGGTGCTAAGGTGTTAGATTAGGAGTGCTTAGGGCTAGATTCATTGATTCATTTCTCTAAACAGCTGTTCTCTAGCCTAGATCCTTGCACATCACTTGTGATCTAGATTCTGGGAATTTCATGCACCACAAGTGTTTGATGATCTGAAAGAGCTGTATTAGAGGTTTAAGCATTTGCTGCATGATAATGTTTTGTTATTTGCTTGAATGATCTTTTAGAACTGTTTCTTAATGCTCATTGATTCATATTTCACAAATGATGATTTGGTTTGAAAATGGATTAGTGTAGAGGTTAATGCCTTTATGAGAGGATTAATCTAGATTAGAGTTCTAAATCACTTGAATCATGTCTCATCATTGTCATTAGCATTCCTGATTTAGCATCAAAGCACCCTAGCCAACTATCATGTCTAGAATCTCATGCTTCCATCATTTCATATCATCTCATTTTGTCATTTTCTTGTTTAAGTTGATCATTAGCTTTAATTCTTGTTTTAGGTTTGTTTGGTGGAAGTAACATCAAAACCTCACTCATTTGGCTTGAATTAAGAACTGATCCTGCATCTTAGTGTCTACACATGATGGATTGATACCCTTTGTACTGCAAAGTGACAAAAGGGATTGATAACCCTTCATTTAGAGCCTTGAAAACTCTAAGTTATTAATTGGCGCCGTTGCCAAAGTGTGATAACATTAAGATTGTGTCATTTCTGGAGATTAAGCATTTTCTTTTGTGTTTTCTAATTTCTTTCAAGTTCTGGTTGTGAGTTTCAGGTGCATGAACTCCAGGTCCAGATCAAGAAGCTGTGGTCCACCTTTCCCCTTAAACGACAACATTAATCTTTTGGTACCAAGGAGGAGAAGGGACAGGCGTGGAAGACAGATTGATCAGGCTGATATGGAAGATCAAAGAGAGCATGTGGTTGACATGGAGCAACCGGCTCAGGAGCAACAAGCTCAGGGTAATGGAGCTGGTAATGCAGCTGGTAATGGAGCTGGTCAAGGGTTACATCAGGGTAATGTTCATCGGGAACATGTGCATCAACAGCAAGCTTATGTCCACCAGGGACAAGCTCCAGCTCATCAGCAGAGGCATCAAGCCAATGTCCAGCAAAGACAACAGGTGCACCAACAGCAGCCCTTCCAACACCAGCAAAGGAGATATGAGCAGCCACAGGTCTATGTTGGAGAAAATGACAGGGCCAATGCTCATCAGTATGGAGCTGGAATTCAAGCACCACCTGTGCAAAACAACAATTTTGAAGTCAAGGCATCTTTACTGAATATGGTCCAAAACTCAAAGTTTCATGAATTGGCAATGGAAGATCCCTTGGAACACTTGGATCAATTTGATAAAGTGTGTGACCTGACAAAGATAAATGGAGTTTCTGAAGACAGTTTCAAGCTCAGATTATTCCCCTTCAGTCTTGGTGAAAAAGCTCACCAATGGGACAAGAACCTC